TGGCAGCTGCGGGGGAGCCCTGGGCTGGGCCTGCGGGCGCCGCGCGGCCTGAGGGCCGGAGCGCCGGGGGGCGGTGCAGCTGCTGCCGGGTCTGTCGGGCTCTTCAGAGGCAGACACGGTGTTTAGGGGCTGCAAACTGAAGCGAAGGGGCTGAGTCAGCTTCTAGCGACATGCAGTGTTTCTACAGGAAAATGTGGTGTGCGGCTGTGGAGGCTGCAGGACATGGAATTACCGTCTGGTGTTTTTATGGGAAGGAAGGATAAAAGGGGTGCTCTTCTGATGGCGGAGGAAAGGAAAATATGTTAATAGCTCATTTTTCTCCAAGCCTGCTCTTGTTTACAAATGAGCTGATTTTCTGTTTCTGAGAGGCCTTTTCTCCTGAGGTTAATGTTCTTTTAACACACTGAATGTACCGAACTTGCTGGTTTTGATGTGACTGATGGGTTATAGTCATGATCAAACTACAAATCTGGTTACTAGATAATAATAACACTAGTTTCTGGTAATCCACAAACTGATGTGGAGCCAGGAAAAGTAATATGCACCAATTAGACCAAATTAGATCATTAGGTTGTCAGAAAGTTTTCCCTGTATATGCATGGTCACAGGAGAGGCATGGAAATCAAGAACTCTAACAGTGATAGGAATGCTATAATTAGGCAGAGTTTGTCTGGAAGATTTTTTGTCCAAATCTTAAATAACCCATGAAGCAAGTGAGAAAAGAGAATAATCGACTCATGGGATAACAGTAAATTAGAGACACTATTGAAGTATAAAAAAAAGGAGCTGAAGATCAAGGAAACAAGGGCATGGATTTCACTGGACTCTTGCTCTGCTGTGTGTCACTGTATGTCAAAGTTTCTCCCCAGAGTGGTACAACCATAAATTAATGCTTAATTTTTATTTTTTAATGTCCCTATTTAAACATTACTACTAGTCCATGCAGTTAAAAGAAATTAATTCATTATATTGATGTGTTGTCAGAGACACTAGAAAGCATTTATAACTCCTACATCTCTCTTGAAACTCATCTGGTGCTGGTCAGGGAAGTTTTAATCCCTCTTTTTTGCCTTACTACATGGTCAAACATGTTTTAAAACCCCTTTTGAAATATAAGTATATATTTATATTTAAGCAATTAAAGCCAAAATGAATGGTCTGTTTTTTAAAAGAGCAGTATCTTTAAGCTGTGATTGGTAAATTAGTGTATTAGTATTTTAGTTATTAGTGGCAATGTTGTTTTATTCAAATACTTTATGTCCTTTTTTGGCATCAAGGATTTTTTTAATTAGAGATGGAGGCCATAGTTCTTACAGTTCTCTCTTAATATTAGATTCAAAGTAAAACCTAAAGTACATGTATTTTTGTGATGTATTTCACTTAATGACATAATTTCCATAGGCAAGACAAGGCTTTTATCCACTTATCCACAGTGTAATCATATATGTACTGATAGGTTTTTTTCTTATAATTTGGCTTTTGCAACTTTTATTATGTATATAGTGAGCAGGTAGAAATAGATTATGTAACTCAGTAGATAAATTTTTGCCTTTACATTGACTTTTTTTTCAAATGCATTTCTTTTTGTAAATACTTCTGTATCTCTAGACAGAGGATATGTTTCTCAGTCTGTAAGTACGTGATTATTTGTATCCATATATATATAATTTCCCTTTTACTTGTTAAGGCATTCGAGACCAAGAAACTATGTTTCAGAATCTGAAGTGTGCAAACTGGAATCTGTACCCTTGGATTTTGGTGATTACCATCCACTGAAGCCAATTACAGTGAGTTCCTATTTGTACTTTTGGAAAACAAATGTGATTTAAACTGATTGTGTTCCTCATCTTTCTTCCATTCCTTTAAAATTAAAAGGCTTTGAAGTTGGTGTGGTACTACTGAGGTTGCTCTCTATGTTGGTGGCCTGTTAACTTAGAGGCATCAAGGTTTATTCCTTCTGTCCTTCACAGAAATTTTCTGGTGCTCTTACATGTCAAGAGCAGTCGTCTTCAGACAAATACAGCGTTCCAACTTGTGGCTTTTCTTGGCTGCATTAAATGCTGAATAATGGATATGTGTAAAATCAAAGTGTTGCCTTACAAATAGCCTGCATAATTGCTTGATGTAAGATTTGTTTGTGAGTTAACTTCCAGTCAGCTGGATGCTTTGAAACTTTTATAGTTTCTTTAATGTATGAGAGGCTTTTAAAAAGTGTGCAAAAGAATCCAGCTTCAAAGACATGATAGTCATACACTAACGAATGATAAATGGGCAGCAGTGTCTACTCAGGAAGGTCAGTAGGGAGATAAGACAGAGGCCTCAAGAGTGGATTTGATGTTCTGGGCTCAAGTATTGTACAAGAAAAGTAAAGATGAGACTGGCAGAAGAAATCAAACAAAAAGAAGGAGGTTGGAGAGGCAGGAGAAAAACAGTAAAATAGAGGAAGGATACTAGAAAGAAATTTAGAATGGTGGTGGTTATAGTTCTGTAAACTTAGAACTGGAGGGGAAAACAAAAAAGGAAAGGAAATGCTATTGAAGAGTGCCTCCAGATTCTGGGGAAAAGGAAGTGCTTCAATTTATATGCTGATCCTTGATTTAAAGAGTTCCTTTGGTTGGTCTCATTGCTCTCATTGCAACAGCACAACTTAGGTGCCACATGTTTTGATGATTTATTAAAGGGCAAGAGAAAGCCTTTTTGTTTACTGGCTTTGAACTTGTCTTTTAGGTTACTGAATCCAAGACCAAGAAAACAAACCGGAAAGGGAGTACTTCTTCTACCTCTTCTTCTTCTTCTAGTTCTATGGTGGATCCACTGAGCAGTGTATTGGATGGTACCGACCCCTTGTCATTATTTGCAGCAGCTGCAGATCCTGTCCCTACTACTGCTACCATGGTAACACTGGGGAAAAGTGATCTTAAATAAATTATTTTTTAAAGACCCAAAACAAAACTAGAAAGCCAGCCCTGGAGAGAATATATTTGTCTCACCAGCTAGGAAATTAATGCAAATAGGAAACATACTGTATTAATAGAATAATGTAATTTTTTTAAATTTATCTATGTTTGTCTGGCTCGTGGTGACATTTATTTAAATATGGAATTCTTTTTTAGTATTGGAACTTTTGGAAGGATTAGTTAGCACTAATTCAGTCAACCATTAAGTTGAACTTTATCATCTTTCTCCTTTTTTTCCAGATGCGTATTTAACATTTGCATTTGTACTGTCCTTGTAGGATGGTGCACGAAAGAAACGGGACAAAGATGACAGCTCAGCAGTGGGAAGTGACTTTGAGCCATGGTCAAGCAAACGTAGTGAAATCCTTGCTAGATACACAACAACAGAGAAGCTTTCTATTGTAAGTGACAGCTCTGGTTTTATTTATTTGTACTGGAAATGTAATGGATTTTGGATGTGACCATTTTGTAATTATTTCATGAGTAAATACTGGTCCTCCTAAATTTCAGTTTCAACAGAAAGCTGTAGCACAAGCTCTGACTTGTAGTGATTATTCTGGAGCTGAGTCCAAAAGTCTGTTGACACTTAGAAATCTTCGCTTTCTCTTTTTTGTAACAGTACAAATAACTTTTGGTCTTTCGTCTACTTCTGTATGATTAGAGGCTTAATTAGCAGTGTAATTACCCCGTGCATTCTTGGAATTCTAGTGAGTAGGTGTTTTCTAAAAGTCTGCTTTTGCTGTTTCTTCACAGAATCTGTACATGGGCTCAGAAAAAGGTAAGCAGTTTCTCTAACAGCAACAGGTTTTACTTCAGGTGGGGTTCAGTGACAGGTTTGTGGTAAAAAATACTTGAAATGTGTTTTTGTGTCCTCCCCTGCTCTGACATGTGGTTGGATCTCTGATTTTGTGAATAAGACTTCTGCTGAATTTTTACTTACAATGGTTGTTGAAAACAAACCATTCAGCCGCCTTCTCCTGTATTTCTGTAGGCTGATGAATTTGCGATTACATGTTGTAGGAGGAAACGAAATTCACTCCTTTCCACTGTAGGTTAACACTTGCTTCCATTTAAAGAGAGTAATGATGTTTTGAGGACCATGTTCATCATCTCTTCTGCTTGCTGGAAGGAAAAGCAAATAAGTCCCTTAGGAACTTGTTCCGTTGTCCTCTTTACATGCAAGTGAAATATTTCAAGGATATGCCCAGTGTTCAAAAAAAGAACCAAATGTTAAATATTTTAGTGTGTTTTCTAGCAAAGCAAATCCATGCTAGGTGAGCATAGCTGATTGCATAGTAAAACAGAATCTTAATATATGAGTAAACATGCAGCATTTCAGCTTCTGCAATGAAGTGAAATACTTCTTTGAAGTGAAAATTATCAAACACTGAAACAAGATGTTCAGGGAACATGTGACATCTCCATCCTTAGATACTTTTAGAATGACTGGATATAACTGTGCAACCTCTTCCAACTTCAAAACTGAGCCTGCTTTGAGGAGGTTAGTTGGACACAGACCTCTGTAGGGCTTTTCTAACTTAAATTATCCTGTGGTTCTATCCAGTGGTTCTTTGCCTACCATAAAAACTTACAAGAAAATCCATTTATATTCAGTTTTGCTTACTTGTAATTCCCTGTTCAGAGTGAACAAACTGTAGGTACATTCAATTGTGTGTCTTCAGGAATAGTCAACGAATAGATCACACCACTTGCCTTCTGTCAGGGAAGCTGTCTAGTTGTCAGAGTCTGCCAAGCTCCTTCAGGCTTGTTTCTCTTTAAAAGTCCTGAGTGTTTAAATGTTAAAGAAACTCAAACATGTAATTCTTCCCAGGAAAAGCTACAAATGCTGGCTCAGCAGTTTCTGAAAAAGTGAGGACAAGGTTAGAAGAACTGGATGATCTGGAAGAGGTGAGAAAGTGTTCTGATCCAGTTGCATCTTAATCTTAGAAGTGAAATAAAAATCTTTTTATTACACCTTTTAAAAGGTCCTGATTCTGCATGCTGCATAAAGCATTTAGATAAAGATGCGCTTTCCATAGGGCTCTGCCACTTAACTAATTTCAGGTTGCTCGTGGGCTGAGCCAGCACACTTCTAGGAGCTGCATATCACTAAAAAAGGATTGGATTATTGTAGTAGAAAAATGAAGTACCTTTCCTAAGGAAATACGTAACCTTTTGTGAAACTCTTAATTGCATTTGTGTTTATTTTATCTCTTCATCTGTGATTGCTTCTACTGATGTTTGTTTTTTTAAAACTAGTCCTGAAGGTAGTTTTTGATGTTGCTGATACTTCGACAGAAAACTCGCCAGAACCATTTTCTGATTTTTCTAAATGCATTTATAGTCACTCTGTTCCTGTGCCAGTTTGGTTCTGAAGCTTGAACAATTATTTCTGCTTCCAGTGTTTCACTAGTTTATTTTTGATATGTAATCTTTTTAGAAGGTTGGTAAGATCTTCTGGAAAAAAGATCACAGGAATGCTCCAGTGCTGAGCATGAAATGAAGACAGTTTTTTCTTACTGAGGGTGAAGCACAGCTGGATTTTTCTTGCTGTCAACAAAGTTTTAGGACCTTGCTGGCAAAACGTCTCATTTCTGTCTGATTCTGCTTCTACATAGGTGCTAGTGTGCTTATGTATAGTGTACTAATTATGCCATAAGTAGAATACTAATGATGCCATGAAGTTGGGTACCAGCATGTATCTCTCTTGAAAACCAAAGCACTTGTGTTGCACTCCTGTGCCAAACACCTGCAGTATTGATGCTGCAAAGAATGGAAAATTAGGTAATTGTGTAATAAGTTTTGTTGGCTTCTCTTCCCCCCCAGCGTTTTCACTCTGTAATAACAGCATTCTCCTTCCTTCACTTCCTCTCTTGTTTAGTAGACTTATGTTTTCTTGCCAGGGGTCCCAGAAAGAGCTGTTGAATCTGACTCAGCAGGATTACATGAACCGAATTGAAGAACTGAACCAGTCTCTGAAGGATGCTTGGTCCTCTGATCAGAAAGTAAAAGCTCTGAAAATAGTCATCCAGGTCAGTTTTACATTTTTGCTCTCCACAGAACTGATGAGTTTGGTGGTTTGGTTTGCCCAATTTCTTTATTGGGGATGGATGGGTTTCTGTTATTTGTTTAGATTTTTTTCTACTATTTTCTTCTGTTCTTCACTGAAACAAAATTATTTCAGTTTTGTGACTTCGGACAACAGTTAGATTTTCAAATCTGTTGTTATATATTGATTTTTACTAGGGTATGTGGGAGGGAGTTCACATTCAAGAGAGTGGCCAAATGGCAGATGTGGAAATGTCATCTGCTTAAGAATCATTATTAAAAAATAACACGCAGTCATTTCAGCTCTTTCTAGGACATGTGGTTTCCCTTTTCTTTCCTCATCCTTCTCTACCCCCTTGCCCCTCACCTGCCATACGAGAATGGCTTTTTGAAAGTCAGTGTTCTCCTCATCTAGACTTACTAAGGCAGCTGAATAATCTTATTTAGGACCCTACCAGCATACAAAAAGCACCACCAGATTTTTTAAGTGTTTGGGTTGTTTTGTTTTTAATGAACTTCTCCACAGTCTTCGTCTAGTTTATTTGGGGTGATGAGCTGTGAGGGGGGTGGGGTGGAATAGGACAATAAAATGCTCGTTTGGCTTGGCCTTTATAAAAAGATCAGAGGCAGAGTTCATCAGAGAACAGAGGAGATAATGACATCCTTAAAAGCTGTAAAACTGATGTAATGCTGGTAATCATCAAGCGTGGTTATATAAAGTCAGGATTATTTTTTTTTTCATGCTGGATACTCTTGTAAAAACTGTTTGCAGTAATTTCAGCTTAAATTGTAGTAAAGACAATAAAGGAAATGAAACAAATGAAAGGACAATAGAAAATTATGTGCCTTAGAGTGACTAATGTTTTGTTGTAATACTATTAAATCAGCACTATTCTTTAAAAAAAACACAAATTAAACATTATGAATTGTGAGTATCTTGGTGAAAGAAAATACAATATTAAAAATCTGGAGGAGGAGAAAAGGGACACAGACTTACTGTGCATTAATACATGTATAAATATACTGTGTCTGACATGCAGAGATAATATATGCATTAATACTTAAATATCTTCTTTTACAAATGGTTTCACAAATGATTTTGAATATAGTTTCTAAGATGGGATTTAGTGTTTTCTTTTAGGAAAGTGGTATAAAAATTGCATCTGTTTATGTCCAAGTGTTGTCTGTGTTGTTAACTTTGCATTTGAACTTCACGCTGCAGATGTTCAGCATTAACTGAGAGCCTGGGTAAGAATGGAATAGTGTTTGGGTAATTAAGATAATTTAAAAAATCTTTCATAAAGGAGACTATAGCTAACTATTAATAATTTTATATTTATAATGCAGGATAGGGTACAAACCTGACTTCCAGTGTTGTGATTCTTCCTAGTAAATAAGAATTTAAAGAATGTTGTATCCTCTTAAAGAATGGAGCTGTTTCCTTGACATCAAGCTGTGAATAGATACAAAGATCATACTCATTATTATAGTGTAAAATAGGAGGAGTAAGTGTGGCCATTTTTTTGGTTGACATTTTCAGAAATGTACAGTGAGCTAGAAAAAACTATTTTAGTTTGGATGCCAGAATTATCTTAGGAACTAAGGATGAAATTACACAAGTTGTTTCATTTGGACATTAGGGATGGAACCTTCATTCTCTATGAGTTTTTTAGATTTTGAAGTGTCAGAAGAGTTCTGGTTGTTAAGGCAGGCTTTGAATTTATAACGTATTTCTCAAGTGTCTTTTTACAAGATACTTTACTTGTCAAGATGGAGTAAGCTAAGCAACTTAGGGTAAGCTGAAGTAAGTTGATTATCTATGTGAGCTCTAGAAGAGTGGTCAGTGTTCGTGGTGTGTGTAAAGTGCTAAACAGCTGCTGGAATACCTTTCTGTGGAGCCAACTGACTTGCCACTCAGCAGGGAAGGTCCTGCTGTGGTTGTGAGATGTTAATGCTCTCTTTGGTTGCACTCTTGGCTTCCTCCATGAAGAAAAAAGCAAAAAGACTGTGTGTTTAATAATCTTCTAATATAATTATTTTCTTGTTTAAACAAGGCAGTCTTTTGGGGGATCTGATTTGATTCCTGGATTTTTGGCTTGTAATGAAAACTTGAACTTTTATTTACTCCACTGAGATTGAAGAATTATCTCCTGTGTCGTGGGCCAGTATTGGGGGGCTACTCCCCCCAGTTATGAAGGAGAGAAAGGACAGAGGTACTGTACTTGGCAGTCTTAAATAGAGACCACAAAAGACTCAAAGTTGTGTTTGGCTCACACAGGGAGGAGGAGGAGGATTTCTCTCCCAGTCAGTCATCTGCCTGTTTTCTTCAGGTGGAAGTTGATTCTCTGTGACAAAGTTTTTGGCTGCAGTTTAGTCTGCAGGCTTTGCACCACTTTGGAAAACAAAGTATAGCTTAATTAAATGTCTTTATAATACACTCATTCCTTCTTGTATGTTGAATTCATATAATAAATGGTTTCTATCTGGACTTGAGCTCTGAGATACTAGAACTAAATTGGCAGATCTGAAATCCTGCATTGTAGGTTAACTAGTGTAAAGGAAAAACAGATGTGTGACTGGCTCTGCTGGAAATGAAGAATAACCTGAAAAATACAGAATGTGCTACAATGTGTTGGGCTACAGATTCTTGTGCTTTTAGCTGGATAGTTCTTTATATTAGTTCTTTCCTTCTGTAGATATCAATCTGTTCCAGCTTGTCTGGAGTAAAATCAGGAACTTACAATGTGCTCTAAAAATGTTTCTTTTTTCTTTTTTTTTTTTCTTAGTGTTCTAAACTTCTTTCAGACACAACAGTAATCCAGTTTTATCCAAGTAAATTTGTATTAATTACAGATATCCTTGATACTTTTGGTAAGTGTCCTAATGTGCCAGACTTACTACATAATTGTTAACAAGATTAAATTAGATTTTGTAATTATTTAAAACATCAAATTTATTGAAAAAGCTCTGAAATTACTCTCAGTTTTAACACAGAATATTTCTAACATAAAACATTTGGACACCAGTGGTATAAATGTGGTATACAGTTGTTCAAAAACTCTTATGAGTGAAGTCTTTAAAATAAAAATAAAAGCATAGGTCTATGGTTTATATGTTAGTAAATATCTCAAACAAAGCCTTGGGCAAAAATAATGATCCCTGCATTTTGAAATTTAAACCACATTGTCATTATTATGAAAATATTTCCATTTGGGTAGCCTCTTGACTCAATGATTCATTCTACTTGTATTGGAAGACAGAAAGTTTTCTTTAGCTGAATAGGGACTATGAAGTCATCAAAATGTAGTTACTAAATTGTTTAATCTATTATTATTGTTTTTAAATGACCCTTTAAGTGAAGTTATCAGCCCCTGCATGTGATTCTCTTGGTTTTCTGCCAGGTTATGGAAAAAATTTACAACAGTATTCAAAGTTGAAGGGTATTTTCATGTTTAGCAGGATGTGCTATGACATAGATCCAGTTGTTTTTTTCCGATCTTGCTTCCTTTTTGTGTTCTTTCCTACTTACTGGAAGTTGCTGAAGATAACGCAATATCCAAACTCAGCAAAGACAGGACACCAGCTGTCTTTTCCTGCAGGAATCTGACCTGTGTGCTACCTCTGCACCGAGGGGAGCCAGAGAAATCTTTTGTAGAAGGTGAAGTGCTGAATTCAGACTTAACGTTTCAGCCTCACTAGAGGGCAGCAGCCTGTCGGTGTTCTGGGAAATGTTTTCATCTCGTGTCAGGGGATGTTAGAGGGAGAACCTTTGTATTGACATTTTGTGTTTTACAGTTCATTATGATTTATTTATTTATTTATTTTTAAAGGGAAACTGGTGTATGAAAGAATCCTGTCAATGTGCGTGGACAATCGTGTTCCTTTGCCAGGTAACTTTGTGTTTGTTCCTTCTGAGTTCCTGTGAAAAGTCATGTCCAAACTAATTTGAGCAAGGTTAAACAGGACCCAGGCTGCTTTGCTTCCCATGAAAAAAGTTCTGATTTGCATGTAGTAATTTTTAGTTTTTAACAGAGTAAAATCCATTGCTTACAGCTTTTACCATCCATAGTGTTTATGCAAGTTTACATTTTAATTGTGAAGAATGCACAGACAAAGCTGAGAGTCTCAGTTTTTGGTAAATAGATGTTTTTGTTGCCGCATTTGAAACTGTTGGCAGTTTTGCTTTAATTAGGGAGCAATTTTCAAAAAAGCAGCAGGCTGCCAATATAAACTTTCTAAATTGGGCTCTTTTAATTTTTTCACTTGAAGTTCTAGCATAATGTAAAAGTTTAATTTGATATAATTTTTACAGTACAAGTGTATATGGAAGTACTTCTCTAGGAAGGTACCAAAACATTCAATTGAAATAAGGGCTTTTCCTTGCAATTTGGAGTGTATTAAGTGCACGTCCTTGAAATAGAAAACCTTACTCTGTGGCTGGCAGTGCAACAGTACCAGTAGGTTACAGTTAAGTCCATAGAATTTGATCTAGAAGCCTGAAACCAGCAAATATTTAAATTTTAAATAAACTTAGATAAAAAAACCTGGTATTTGGTTGCTTCAGCTTTGATAAACTGTTCTTGTAACCGTTAATGAAAGCAAACAGTTCTCACAGCATGTCAAATACTAGCAGAGTTACCCCTGTTCTGGAGAGCTGAGCTCATGCTGCAGCTACCTGGCTGCTGGGAGCATTGTTGGTGGGATTTTCCCATTCAGCTATAAAGTGGGAGGAAGAGAAGGAAAATCTGTGCTGTGCTTGCTGTGCATGGCAGTGGGAACCCCTGGGGATTTCAGGCCCAAACTCCATGTTTGTCCCATGGCAACTAAGTAAAACAGGCTTGGACGAGAACAACTGTAGCCCTGGGTGAGAAAGAACATCTGCCTGTACTCAGTATCTGGCCTGTGGCTCTCTAGTCTGGGAAGTGGGAAACTTGATTGTGGAACAGGAGCTTCTCACCTTTCGGAGGCAGGGAGGGAGAGCACTGGTGTTTTAAACCTGTTCCACTAGGAGTTTATAAGTAGACATTCACAGCAGAAGCTGCTTGAGTAGCTTTAACGCTGACAGAAGAAGGACTCATCCTTCCCAACCATCTTGACTGAGACCTGAATTGATCCCAAGAAAGCTATTTTGGCAACCTGTTCCTTGCAATCTAGAGGAAGAGGAGGCAGTTATCCATGCAACTGCATGCCTGTCTGACCAGAGCACTGTCCCCATAACCCATCTGTTCCACCCCAGGGTGGCAGCGTTTTCCTGCTGGCAGCTGACACAAATAGTCCCAAAGCTCATGAGGAGGTAACTGTGCTGCAGTGTTAGATGTTTAGCATGCAAAAACAATTGTTCTGTCAGTGTTTAATATTTCCTGCTTCTTTCAATATAGTTTTAAATAATACTCTTTAAAAATTATATTACCCTTTTAAAGTAAAGAGTTTGAGTGCTTATAATACCCTTTATATGTATGCATTTGTTACAGATTTTTATACACGTATTTTTTATAGATTCTTTTTACAATTTGTTATAGGTTGTTGTTTTTTTATTATTATTTCTACTTTTGAGGGAAGGCAGAGATTAGATTTCCAGGTAGCAAATCTGAGATTAGCTTTGAGTGCTTGATTTCAGCTTCTGAAATGTTACTCAGTGCAAGATGGAAGCTCTAGTTACCTCTTGCTCTGTGTACTTGGCTCTTACTGCTGCAAGAGAGAGCTGAGAATCAAATAGATATTGCCTGGATTATTGTGGTGCACTTAATTTCTTGTTGAAAGTGAATATGATTTTAGACCTATAATGAAAAGTAACTTGTTGCTAGAAATAATGTAACTGTTTCTGGGTTGTTGGTTGTTTTTTTTCTCCAGATAATTTTTCTCCAGAGTGTGTCAATGATACTGCTAAAGAAACTTGCTTAAACTGGTTTTTCAAGATTGCTTCAATCAGAGAACTCATTCCCAGATTGTATCCTTGTCAAATCAGACTTTTGGAGTCTGCAGGTTTTTAACAGACTTGGCAAAAAATGAACATGTTTGTTTCAATAAAATCCACAGCAATTTGATGTTTATACTGACTTTGTTTTGTTTCAGGCAGTATGTTTTACTTCTAATTTTGAGTCATGTTTCCTAGCAAACTGAGTGCTGAATTCCTGTCTGTGAACAGCCCAGCAGTGATAAGAGCTGATGTGTGAGAACTTGGGAAACATTAAAAATCTTTTAGATAAATAATAAAAATCAACAAAATGTGGTGAGATTAGTTACAGAAGGCCTTGAAATACTTTGTTCAATATGTATTTGGTATATAAGTTTGGTTTTGTAATTTTAAGTGCCATGAATCTTAGTTTTACTCCTTAACTTGGCTTCATTTTAGCTACGTGGAAGCAGCAATACTGAAGTGCAATAAGTTCCTATCTAAAACGTAAGAGTGAATGTGAAGTGTGGGAAAGAAGTGATTGGACAGGCTTATGCACTAATTACAGGAGTTAAGCATGCAAATTCCATGATTAATGGTGGATAAGGTCTTAATAGGTCTGAGGAAAAGCAGTACTGAGGGATTTTGGAGTTTTTGGTGGGAATGCCATGGAGTAAATTCAGGTGGTACAATTTGGAATGCAATAGTGCTTTACAATTTTGGAATATATGTATCAGGATATGCATTTACATATTAGATATTTGCATACTAGAAACCAGGAGCTTCAGATGTTGGAGGGGGAGTCAAGATTGTTGAGATGAGGGGGATGAAAAACTAAAAGGAATATATTGATGTGTTGTATTGCTAAAGACTGAGTTGGAGAAACAGTTCAGGAGCGATGAGCTATTATCTATTGAAAGTCTTATGCTTCATATGCTTCAGAATTTTCATATGAGTTGCTGAGCTGAACATGTTCCTTCACATGTAATTGTCCTTTTTCAGTTATGCTTAGAAATGAATGTTGTAAGCCAAATAGCTATTATAATGACTACTAAAAAGCAGTTCTTTTACTGAAATTGATGGGCATCATCTCCAGGCACTAGTACAGCTTGGTCAAAGAGGACCTGTGGGAAACTGAGGCACAGAAAGAGTTCTGGCAGTTCTGCTTTAAGCAGATGTTTTTTTCACATTGAATTACAGCCCTTCTAGAGCTCTGCTGTTCCTGCAAACTAGAGGAGTGTTTTAGTTGTGTTTGACTTTTACAAGCCAAGCTTCCAACCTGGCTACCTGCACTACTCCTAATGGCAGATACTGCAACTGGAGTATATGATACATGTTACTGTACACAGAAAATTTTACTTCAGAAATAAGTTTTGTGCTAATATGCTTCATCACTGGTAGGTGTTTCTGTAATTCATGCTCAATCTACAAGGCAGCTACTGAAGTTATCTCTAGGTGATCTAATTCTGTTAGCACTTGTTAAATCTCATTTTCATTTCTGAAAAATCTCAACAGGGGGATTTCAGAATGTCTCCCACGGTTAACATCCATGATTAGAGGAATTGGAGATCCACTGGTTGCAGTCTATGCAAGAGCATACCTTTGCAGGGTAGGCTGTCATTTAACACTTCACATCTGTACCAAGGATTTACTGCAGCTAACTCTGCCATTAAAGGAGAATTTATTTGAACTGCTGTTTTTATCTGAAGTGGTCAGCAGCCTGTCTCTTCCTTCTAGCAAACCAAATAATTAAATTCCACTTTTGTCTTAATAATGGGGAATCTTTCTTTTAAGTGTTTTATAATAAATAAAAATAATTTTATGTGCTGCTTATGCTAGTTTTTCATCCTTAGGTTGGGCAAAATGTTAGGGACCTAAGTAGAAGGAGAGTTTGGTCTTTGAGGCTACGTGCTGTTGTCTGATTGCTGAGTTCTGCTTTTCATAATTAGTACATGTACTTTCCCTATGTTTATCTTCTCCCTTCTACTGTTGGAGTGTATGTGGCAGGCAGAGAGCAGGCCAACTCCTTGACAGAGGAGCCGCTTGATAAAATGTTCAGACAGTGGATTTTTTTCTGACTGTGCAGTGTGGCTTTGTTCTTATTCTCATCTACTCTTCCAGTTACCTTAACAGCTCAGCCAAGATAAACTTAGCCAAGAAGAGACCCTAAAATGATTTTAAAAGTCAATAGTGGAAAAATATTTGTGAAATACAGTTTTGAAATAGTGGCAAATATCTCAGCTATAACTGGTAGGGCTGGTAATTAGCAATACTTGCAAGAAATCTGCTGCCATTATGAAATGCAACAGGTTTGTTCAGTGTGGATCTGTTATGTTTGAATCAACTGTCCAGTATGCTTTTGGTGTACTCCTCAGGAGTGTCCTGGTCAATTCTGGCATCTGCAAGTAATTGCTAACCTCTGGTTTACTCTGAGAGATCAGCAGCTTAGTTTATTTGAATCTTGAAATACAATAATGTTTGCTTTTTTGTCATAGTCTAGTAATTCCTCCTGCATAGTGCAAGGTTTCTGAAGGTTTTTTTGGGAAACAGTATGTATGCACAGTCCACCTTTTACTGCTCATGACACAGCTAAAAGAGGTGCACAATTATCAGATAGAGCAGTTAGAACTAATAATTTAGTTACCTCTGCTTTGTGATGCAGCTAGAATTGCATATGATCAGGAGTCCCAAAAACTCCCAAAAAAGGGCAACCTTAAACTGGTGACATGGATTTGTTTATGTGTAAATGTGTTACTCATTCACTTCTGCATCTTTCTTTTTTTTTTTTTTCTTTAATAATATGTTACATTTTTATTTTTTGATATTTTAAAATCTGTGTTATTGAAAATTGTCCTGGTTGGATGGATTAGTTTGCTTTGCAGTTGTAGCTTTACTACATAGACCTTGTGTTTATACGTCACCTTATATTATTTATCAACATTTTATCCAAACCTATCTATATATTCATAATTTCCTTTGAGATCCTTGCTTCACTCTGTCCATGAAATAAATACACATGATTTTAAGTAATTTTTGAACTTTGACTTTTAAGATGTTCTTCACTGAAGGCTCTCTGCATACAATAAATATAGGCTGTTTCAATGTTGGCTCTGGGGTAGGCACTGATTTCCTCACTGCTTGCAGATACTTGGAGCTGATGTTAGGAGAACCATGTTTAAACACAGCTGTAACTACCTCAGAGTAGTTGTGAGTGGACATGCCTATAATAGTAAGCCAGGAAATAGTGAAAAGCACATGATTTAGTGCTGTTTGTTGATGTGATGTATGTAGGTAGGTGTACTCCTCTGGAAAACACGTTTGTCTTGCAGTTGAAAAAGAATTGTAGGTGGTAAATGCACATGAAATCTTTCTCTTTTTTTCATATAGGTTGGGATGGAAGTGGCACCACAACTCAAAGAAAGCCTTAACAAAAATTTCTTTGACTTTCTCCTCACATTTAAACAAGTAAGCAAATAGGGATTTTATTTGCAAAATCACATAAATACACTCCTTACACAAACTGCTGCATACATTAAAAAAATCTTTGACACTCTTAAATCTAGATTTAGGTATGTTCCTGGACCCAGATATAGTATGGAAAATTTTACATACATTCTCATAAACTGAAACTGCTCTATTCAGCATGTTTCCATACTGCAATAATACATGTTATGAACATCATATATTATCCTCCACTTGCAAGGAATGCTTCAGACTATCTGTGTATCTTTGTGGTGATGTCTGTAGTAATTTCCATTCACATACAAACTTTCTCCAGTTTATCATAGCTCTTTTAAAATACATTTTCATAGTGACATGTTGTTGTCTTTCATTTTGACAGATTCATGGGGATACGGTTCAGAACCAGCTGATAGTACAATGTGTGGAGATTCCTTTGTATTTGACTCTCTATTCTCCTGCTATAGACTGGATTTTGCAGTGTATTGCATACCATGCTCCTGAGGTAAGTAAGCCTTGTAATGCTGGGTACTAAAGGAAGTGTTGGGGTGAAGAGTTAGTTTAGCCTGTTAAAAAGAAAACCCTCAGTCCTTATGTGAGTGTGAAAGTGAATATAAAAAGCTGAGACAATTGCCTTTCTCTCTTCTATACAGGAAGAACATTCATTTCCACAAGGCTCTAGTTAAACTACTTTAAATTCATAAGCAGTATTCCTGCTTGTTTCTTGCTGTCCTTCGAATAGTTTGATCTTTTTATTCTGAATTCATGAGTTTCTTCTGTCACACATAAATAATTTATATCACTTGTCATATAAAAATTATTTCAGTAAACTGTAGCTTCATAATTGTTTAACATAGTCAACGGGCTGTTTTAATCTCAGTCTGTCTGTTTTGCATTCTGTGGTTGGTAATCTTCACCTCTCCTGCCAGAGGTAATTGACCTGGCTGGTAAATAGTAATTATTTTGAGAAATGGCATGGCTGAAGGATTTCAAATTGGACTTCCATGAAATGGTGGCTTTGCTTAAAATCCCACTCTACCTATTCCAGTTGGTGTCTTTTATGTTGTACTGTACTGTTATTTTCATGTGTTGTAAATACAGGTAAGACGAGATTTGTTGAAATGTATTGAGTAGGTAATTAAAACAGCTTTTAGTAGACTTCACTATAGTAATTAAAGCTGAATTTATTTGCAGAGTCTCTACGCACTAATTTTAATAAGTAATTTTTCCAGGTTCTGCTTACTGAGATGATGGAGAGATGCAAAAAACTGGGGAACAAGTAAGTATTGCAAAGTGTAAAGGACACAAGTCTGTAATGAGTACCTATGAGTTCCTGTAATAAAATTCTCTCTCCCTTTTGAAAAAAAACTTTTTGGATGCATAGTACAGCTTTTGTTTGCCCAGTAGCTTGCTAAATCATCATTATGAACATCTATTTTCCAGAGATCAGTTCTAAAATATGGTACATTACTTGTAGAGCGAAAGTTTTAATTAACTTGGTTGATGCATTTAGGCTTCTAAGCCAAAGTTTAGGACATGTAATATGTTCTCCATCAGCCATGTGTCTGATTCCAGGTTTTCCTTCATTTTTTCTGTTTTCCTCCCCTTCCTTCTCGTTAGTCAGCCCATACATGCATTTTGCAAGGGATTTTGTAAAGCAGCTGGCACCTTTGGAAAATGGTAATATTTATGCAGCTACTTTTTTCAACATTGAAATGGGTATCCCAGATGCCTCCTAGAAGTCTGTGTGCAGTCTAATCACCTTCAGTCAGTAGTTCAGGAAGATGGTCTGAAAGTTTAGGAGGTACTTTCTGAGCTGTGTGACTGATTTGGCCTGCTGATGAGCTCATCTCAGCTCATTTTATTGGCTAGGTGGGCTGAGTTCTGGGACAGTGTTCAGCTACCTGTTTTTTCTGATGTGCTCTGCACAGCCCAGTTCTGCTGTGGCTAAGGAGCTAAAATATGTTAATCACTTAGATGAGGAATGTCAGCATTAGCATTCTGTGACTGAGCTAAGGAGTACGGGGAAAGAGAAATTTTTAAAATGTGATGCAAAAATGCTGTTGTATAATATGAGTAAAAGTAATCCATGTACTCTGCTGTATCAACAGTTTTATATAGGAGTTGATTTGTTCTGTGGAATTTATTTTTAAACACCTTTTAGCATTTCTTGTTGTAAAGATGGTCTAGGGGCTTCTTCTTTGTGCCTGTTTGGCCTTTAAAGGAAGGACAAAATGTTGAGTATAATGAGTTTTTTAAAATAAATGTTTTTGAGATGTCTTTTATTAGGAATTTGACTAATCTGGTTTTAGGTGATCTGTTAAGCATGGTAGTTCTCTACTTCTTTCAGAGTTCTGAGTTTTTATGTCTTCTCATGACTGTCAAAATATTACCAAGCAAAAAGGCATCAGTATATAATTATTTAAATAATCTCAGTATCTTCCATGAACTACATTGCAACCATTTAAGTGAAAAGTGACAGCCTGCTTTTCTGTATTGCAAAGCATATACCTAGTGAACTGGAAGTACTTGTCTAATGATAAAATGCAAATTCCAGTCAAATTTCAATGGGACCACTATGCTCAGTCAGAAACACAGAGCATGCTGGGCTGTTTTAAGAACTCCATAGAATTCCCCTTGTGGTAATCTTCCCCATATTCAGACTGTCTGTGTCAGACTAGTGAAGGACACTGTTTTATGAGGCAGCTTCTCTGCCAGCTCATGGCTGTCCTTGCCCAGAGGAACTGCCTTTTGAATGATACCAGATATTGTTTCATATAGTATCAGTGAACTTGGATTTACATAATCCAGTGAGTTCAGTCTTCCATTGGTAACTTTGGCTTGATAGTAGTACAAGGAAAGATCTAAATGGTTAATAATAGATGTCTAAATATGTCATTGCCAGTTATAACATTAATATGTTATGCACTTATTGCATGATAATGACTCTTTGGACTTACTTTAATCCTAGCAATACAGCCTCTAGCAATCTGACTTTTATAATGCAAATATATTTTCATTCAATGAGAAAAATTGCAACAGAGATTTTTCCCTGCCAAAGTATACTTCTGAACTGTAGTTACAAAGACACAGTAAGTTTCTAAAAGTTTCAGGTGCTACTGGTTTACTTGATCTTTCTAGCAAACTTCTGGCAAAATGATGGCTTCAAAAACCCTGTGTGGAGCAAGTATTCTAGATGCTGGGTTACCTTTTCCTTATCTGATGGCTTAATATTTTCTTGTTTTGGTTACGCAATATTGCTCCTCATCAATTCAAGCTTGAATTGTGAGGGTTTTTTCTTCTTCCGCTTTCTTAAAATTCAGAATAGATGCTGGACAGTTGTTAGTCTAAGAGGTTCAGATTAATGTAAATGAAGGGACAACAAAATTGTAGTTGATGCTGAGCTGTATTGATTTGTGTTGTGTTCATTGTAGTGCTTTGCTGTTGAATTCAGTAATGTCAGCGTTCAGAGCAGAGTTTATTGCTGCAAGATCTATGGACTTCATTGGCATGATTAAAGAGTGTGATGAATCTGGATTTCCAAAGGTAACATTTTGTGTATAATTTTTCACAATTCCTGTTCATTGTCACCGAGTTCTTTATTCTCTTAGTTGCTTGCAGAACTTTCATTTAAGTTCATTTAAGTAAAAGGTGGTTTGACCCAAAAAAATCTTTCTGCATAGTGTACTTGCTAGAGCAGTGTTTGAAGGACATGCATCTTCTGCTTTTAGCTTGAAATATCTCATCAACTTTCAGCATCTCCTCTTTCGCTCCTTGGGATTAAACCTGGCGTTGGCTGATCCTGCTTAAAACGATCGCCTTCAAATATTAAATGAAGCCTGGAAGGTTATAACAAAGCTGAAGAACCCACAGGTGAGTTGTTGTCTGGTCTGCTTCACTGCTGATTCTGGGTTTAGGGTAAAATTGTAGCCAGTTGTTCAGTAAGTATACCCTTAGCATGACATGATTTACCTTTTCTAGATACACAGAGTTGCCAAAAATATAATATCTGGTAATATCTTCATATGATCCCTGCAAACATACATAAGCAACTTGGGAGGTTTGTCATTACTTCTAGATCTCTAGGTCTGCATTAATCCTCAGGAGTTACTTTTTTAAGTGTATTTTTGTAGGTGTATTGCTCAAAACATCCTGTACACACTGGTAATCATAAGACACTTGTATTTCTAGGATTATATCAACTGTGCAGAAGTGTGGGTGGAGTACACGTGCAGACATTTCACGGTACGTGAAAATTACTGAATTTCCTTTGAAGGCTTTCTGCTACAGACTGAGTGGCTATATTGGCAGTTTGGTATTAAAAATGGAAAAACTGTGTCTACTCAGTATAAATGTGTAGGACTTCAGTAGTGAATAAAAAAAGGTATTTGCTTTCCTGAGAGATTATTAGGGACAAAAGATGAAGCTTCAAAGGAATCTTCACCACTCCCCAGCACTGTGGATTTTCATCCTTTTATTTTAATGGCAGATGAACCGGTTTAAGCAAGGATTTACTGGAGCTGTGGCTAACGTTCCTGGCTCAACTAGAACTCCATAGAAAGCTGATGCTTTGTCAAATGGAACTAAATTATCCATCTGGTTTTCAGTGACTCCTGTGCCCGTTTCATGACTGTGTTTTGTAACTTCATTTTTCGCTACACAGAAGCGAGAGGTCAATACAGTTTTGGCTGATGTTATCAAACACATGACTCCTGATCGAGCATTTGAAGATGCTTACCCTCAGGTAAAGAACATATCTGGTGAAATCTGTAAAAATCTGGTGTGCATTTTCTTAGGTGAAATTAGTTCTTAAACATTGCTGATGCTTCTTACCACAAAAGAGTTATTTCTAAACACTGGCTATAATTTGGGAAGCCTTTTGGAGCAGAGTAATGCTGCAATTTGTTCCTTCTTTTTTCCCTGCACATCAGTATTTTTAGTCCAGAGAAATGCTACATCAGAGCAACTTAAGTATTTAGAATTAGCAATAGTTAACTCCTCCATCAGCGGTGGTGTTCTGCTGAAGAAAGTTAGCAAGCATGGCAGGCTGTTTAAACAGAACTAAACTATAAAATAATCCATCTCCACTTGACATTCTTAAGGCTTCAATGAGATATTATGTTCAGCTCTTGAGACTGCATGCAAGGTGAGAGATAGGAATCAGTTGAAGAGGTTCTAGAAGAAGGCTCTTGTGGTTACTTGGAGGGTAGATGAAGTGCCTACAAAAGATTATTTTAAAAAACAGGTTTGTTTGTTATTTTTAGTCTAGACAGCTGGAGAACATGTAGGCTATAAATCAGAAAAAGGTGCCTAACTATAAAAAAGTAATAAATGAATACAGCCTGGGCAGGCTTGTCAGCTTCTGTTCTTAGGAGTTGTGAAAAGTGTTGGGGAAAATGTGTTAGAAACAGCATGGCTGTAGTTGATCCTGCTTTGGGGAAATAAAGTATATGTAGGAATGCTTGAAGTGTTGTCCAACCCATTTTTCTATGAATAGCTAGAGAAGAATAATCTTTGGTGTGGATAGTATTAATTTAACATGTATTACAATAATTTCCTACACCCTTTCTTTTTTTTCCCTTTAGCTGCAGTCAGTTATTCAGAAAGTAATTACCTATATCTATGACTTCTCTCTGCTTTTTTCAGTGGTAAGTGGTACTCTGTTTATTAAATATTTTAGAAGAATTACGTTGCACTGCTTTTGCAAGAGAATTTACCTGACTTGGATATTTAAATTGCTTACAAGCTCACATAGTGAGAGGACTTTCTAGCAAGTAGATAAGTGGAGAAACATTTTGGAAGTTCTCTGCTGCTTACTACTTAAATATTGGTTATTCTAATTCACTTTTTTTTTCCTTAGGCTGTTAGATTTTCTTAAGTTTGTTTGTTATGATGGCATAAGTGACAACCAATGGAAGATGAAATACCAGTTATTAGTGTGTGTTGATATTATTGCTGATCGCTGTTTCCATAATTCACATGCTCTGTCATAGCGCTTAAGTTTAGCATTGAACCAAAGTGAAACTTAGAGACATCAGAGACTGTAAATGAGGTAGAGAAAGAGGAACAAGGCGGTAGATGTCAAAGTACTAAAAATAGTTGGAGGGTAAAATTCAAGAATAACTCTTTGGATTTTGAATCTTGTTTACAAATTTCTCAGATAATACTGAAAAACTTATCCTTGCTATATTCTTGAGATGATACAGAAACTATTTCAGTATCTTAACAACATAAACCCTTATCCTTGAGGAAAATTTGAATGTCTTGGACCTTCATAAGTTGCCCTGGATACACACAAATGGTTGCTGGTGTGTGGCCTGTTTTAATTTTTTTTTAAATATCCTATCTCTTGTTCCCATAGATGTCTGAGTTTGTTGTGATCTTAAGACGTTTCAACCATATTACTTCTTTTAAGACAGCTCTGTGTTTTGTCTTTTATTCTGGATATCTCAAGTAACTGGATACATCTTTCAGCCTTTGTTGCTTTTCCATTTGTTCCACTCTTTCATCCTTCACTATGAATTACTGCCTTCAAAAAATATTAAAATAATTGTAACTAGACCAACTATTATTATAAATCTTATTCATTAAATATTTATTTGTTTTGTGTGTTGTTTGTAAGATACCCAAACTTATTTAGGTATTTGTGCTTTCAGGAGAAGTTCTTGCCATTTCTGGATATGTTCCAGAAGGAAAGTGTGAGAGTGGAGGTTTGCAAGTGCATTATGGAATCTTTTATCAAGTAAGTGGAGAATATTCAGATAAATGCACTCTGGAGGATCTGGGGCATAGACTGAAAGATTGCTAGGGAAGATGAGTTGGTAAATGAGCCACTTAGATCATGAAGGTGTTCCAGGCTGTGGGAAAAAATAATAATAAAATGTGTCAGTTTTGTCCGTCTATTGATTGACTTGTTGTTTAATTGTTCACAAATCTGAAATTTAAGTAATCATTGATGCTGACTTGCTGAGGATTATCAAATGGTTGTTCTCTAAGCTTTTTAAAATGTATGTTGTTTTAGTTGGTTTATGAAATTTATTTCATATTCCAACTGATGTGACAGCATGGAACTGCTTCCGTGGTATAATGGAGGAAGAGAGACAGTCTGTTGCTAAAAGCTTCTTTATGTAGAAAATTTATTTTTCCCCCTTTGAAAAAGATCTTAAAAGATGAGGCTTTGTCTTCAAAAATTGTACAAGTCAAACAGGTCACTCTGTTTCAAGTAATTATCAGGTTCCTTTAAACATTTTTTCCTTTTTCACCTTCCCCTCAAGTATTTATACACACTTCTAAGCCCCCCCAAGCCAGTCTCTTCTCCATTCTGAACAGCTCCCGCTCTCTTGGTCTTTGCTCATTCAAGAGATGCTGCAGCCCTTCGGTCATCTTAGAGATGCTTCACTGCACGTGTGCCTCTGTACCTAAATGTGACATTTATCCTTCCTGTCTGCCCATCAGTGGCTGAGGAACTACCTTACTTCTTGGTAGATCTGCAGTTGCTTTGTTTTGATGTTCTTAGATTGCCTCAATGTATCACCTGTCTAGCTCATTGTGTCCCATAAGGAGTCAGATTCTGTGGCTTGGCAGTAAAGCTCCATCTGTTGAGATAGTATTTCTTGACTGGCATTTGCTGGAATTGTAAATCTATTAACCATGTGATCTTTGGAGTTCTGTTGGTTAAAAAATGAGTATAAAATTCCTGTAGTGTCATACAAAGCGGATGGTTGGAATTGCGCATTAAATTGGTGTTACTCGATTCCTTGTTTTTCATTTTGACAGATTTTTCATCCTTTTTTCTAAAACATTTTCTAGGCATCAGCAGGAGCCTACCAAGGATCCCGTTATACTCAATGCTCTTCTGCATATCTGCAAGACAATGCATGATTCTGTGAAGTAAGATTAGCTGTATTTGTACTAATAATTATTGTTTATGCAAAGTTTGGCTCCTTGCTGTACAGTTCACACTTCTGAGGCTGTTTGCCTCACGGTGGATTAAGACATGAATCCAATTAGTGGTGAAGGAAAAGCTGTGTGTTGAAGTGGCAGCACGTACCATTTGCTCTTTAATTACTACTTTATTTTGAATACTGAAGCAGAATTTTAAAAGGAAAGAAGCAATGTTTTTTTAGAGTTTTCTAATGGAGCAGAGACACTAAACAATCCAATCTTGTAGAAGTATTTTTGAGAGTGAAACCAATGTAATCTTTGAGTTACAGTGAATAATAAACTATTTTTGAGATTTAAGTGTATATGTAGGCATTAAAGCACAGATTGCCATACTCAGTCACACCTTTTTTGGGCCACATTTTTCAGCCATTACAAAGGGGTATGAAATCTTTTAAAGGACACCTGGAAAATCTCTAGGAACTTTAGTAGGGGAAGCTAGATGAGAGAGGCTCTTGAACCATCTATGTCTTACCCTAAATCCTCCTATTTTCCCCTTGGCTTTGGATGCTGAAGTCTTTAGGGATCTTGGGTGCCCTGTGGACCCCTCAGTGTTTGAATAGCAGTTGTGTATAGGTCATGATATTTTTTCTTTTCTGTGCCAAATGCCTGCTGATATGCCAGATTCTCAGCAATTATGACTTCACAGTTTACCTGTGGTTTATGTTAATATTTATTTAAAACATATTTATAAATAGGAAAAAAGGGGTTTTATGTGCCAGACTTGGACTATGACAGTTTCCTTCAATTTTTTGTAGTACCATGAAGCAGAGTGTCTTGGAGTACTGGCCACATAGTTGTAAATCAAGCTTCCATGACAGTCAGCTGTGCAAGGTGGAAAATGGTTATGATTTGTAGGTAAATTGCAAAAAATCACACAAAATCTATGTCTGGTTGAAAATAGAGCCAGAATCACAACACTGCAGATTTTAGACCTTAAGAACAGAGTTGCCTTTTTTTTTTCTTCTGGTTTGGGTTGAGCAGAATAGTAAAGAGACAGTTTCTTTTTGCACTCTGAGGCCAAAGCCTCTTAGTGTGAGAGACACTGTAAAGGAACTTTCTCAGCCTTGATATGCCATGAATGCAAGATTTATTGCCAATAAAGAAATCAGTTTTGGCATGTTACTCCAATTTATACCAGCTAGAGTGCTTTATTTTGGGTTAGAGCACCTTATTTGGCTGTGTGTTGCACTAAAAGCCACTTCAGTCTTCAAATAGAGCAACACATTGAAGCTAAACCAGTTTAATAAAAGAAATTAAACAGTTTATGGTGATCCATTTTTGGTACTTCCTCTGATGTGTTGCCAGAACAATTTTGATAGATTGCTGAGATCTGTAAAATCCCTTAAACCAGCAGTTCTTTTACCTGACATAAAATGGTGTACATTGTTAAGCTTGGTTCTGTTGTGTCATTTCTTACTGGCAAATCATTCTAAATTCTAGATGTCTTAAAATAACTCCCGCATCTATTTTTGCATCCTGGTTGAGGAAACTCCCAACCTATTGTGTAGAGCTCACTGAGGCCGGGAGCAGCTGTTGGAGGATAACAGCCTCTAGACTGGTAGGAGTCTGATTCAGAATTGAACTGGAAACCTGCAACTGACCCAGAGATCTCATTACAGGTCTTCTGAGCCTTTCAGAGCCCATCAGTTGACTCTTTTGATGGGCAGGGCACTAATGAGCTAATCATGCTGAGATTTTCTTTCCTCCTTTATTGAATTTGTATAATAAAGCTATTGTTCTCTTCCCATCTGGTGTCTGAGCTAGGAAATTGGTAACTGATATACTAAAGGTCAAAGCTGGAGACAAGTAAATAATAGTAAAAGGATTAAATTGTATTGGTTAGTTGTAATTTAACTTTTTATTCATCCATTTTTAGTGAATCAGGTTTGACCTATTGGATTTTCATGTGATGTACATTTGTTTCAAATCAGGTTTGGACTGTTGCTATAAAATAGGTGTCTGATATAGTCTTGAAAATAAATTTTTTATGTACTAGTTTAGTTCAGTTCTTGTTAAAACATCAAAAAAGAGCACTGTAACAAGATTATGTTAATTATTTTTAAAATGATGTGGCAGTGTTAGTAAACAAAATAACCAGCAAACCCCAAACCCTCCAGAAATCCAAACAAGAAGCTAATATTGTTTCTAAAATAAATACATTAACTATTATATATACTACTTAAAATATATTTTAAAAGCTTTTCTCCTTTCTGCCAAGAATAGGTTTACCAATTTCTTTAGGTTTTTCTACTCAGTTCCTACTGAAGTTCTCATGCTGTAACACAAGAGTGAAGCCATTTGCTTACTGCAGTAAAGAAAATGAGCTTAGCTTCCTTCTCCTTATGGCAAAATCTGAGTTTATGTAAAATCTAAAGACATGCTTTAACAATTTGTACCTTTAAAAAAAATTTGGTACTTCAAAAAGGTTGGTGCTGGGTTGAATTGCTGATATTAATATTAAAATTGGTTAATTGCTTTATACCTAAAATTACCAGATTAGTGGTTTTAGTGTACAATAAATATTTTATATGGACATTGCATTGTATAAATTAGTTATCTTTTGAACCTTTAAGGATAGATATGATTAATAAATTCTAAAATTTACTGTATACATTTTCTCTTCTAGTGCACTAACACTGGAGGATGAGAAAAGAATGTTAGCAGCTTTGATAAATGGATTCATAAAAATGGTGAGTGACAGTTGTGTGCAACTGTTGGGGTGTACCTTATAGCTGGGATTTTCATGGGATCCCCATGAGAAACAGGTGCCTGTGTAGCTGAACCAGAGACTCTGTGTCTGACTGGCTTAAGACCACTTGAAAACCCTAACTGGTATATTTTACTGGTAGAAGTGTGCATGTGTTGAGAGAAATAGACAGTGTTGAAGCTGACATGGTGCAATATGAGAGTTTAAAGTGCACATGATGCTTACTTAATTGTGTTTTCTGCTAGTTTTTTAAATCTATAAGGCAAGGTAAGTATTTAAAAGTTAGACAGCGATTAAAGTCTTGCCTCTTACAGTATCAGAAGGGTCACTGGTTTATGTGAATGCAGTTCCATTACCCAGCTCTAATGGATCCAACACCAGCTTTAAAAAACACAAAATAAATGTAGCTTGTATGTTATTCTTATATCTGTTTATCTTAATTTAGAAATAATTTGTTTCATCACATTAGTAGTCCCACAAAAAGCTCCAGTTGTTTTGTCTTTAAATGTATTTTTAACTCTTCCCTTCCTTTTATCCCAGTGAAGTATTTTGTTCTTGTCTGTTGTGTGTGACATGTCTGGTTGTTTAAGGAAGATGTTTGTAAGCTTTTTTTTATTCACTAACCTGATCCTCTCAATAGTTGTATTTCTTTCACACAGTCAGAGCTGACAGGCTTTGTCTCTGCTTGTCTTCTTTGTTGCAATTCTATGAATTTACCTCTGGATGGTTGCTTTATCTTCAGCTACAATAATTTGTTATTTAATATGTTTTAAATACAGTTTTTCTTTATATGCAGTACTAAATTGCATAATTTCTTTAGGAGGATTTTTCTTCTTGAATAAATATTTGATGTGGTCTTGGTTTAGGGAGGAAAAAAATTCATAGCAGGAAAATGACTAGTAAGGAATTTTAAGCCAGCACACATTAAGATGTGGAGGAATAGCACAACAGTCATCCTTACAGCAAGGCTTTTTTGTGTAAAAAAAATGTAGTTTTAGGGAAGCTTGAGATGAGGACTCAAGAACCAGCAGTTGCACAAATAGAGGAAAGGCAAAACCAGTTGCTTTAATATAAGAAGCAATCCTTTCTTTTCTGGTGGAGTTTCTTTGATCTTTCACTGTATGGATTATATTTAATTTTAATTCAGTAAAAACTTCATTTGCATGTGGCTTGAGAAATAATGCAACCTTTACTTCCACTAAAAAAAATTCCATTTGAATACATCAGTTTAGAGTGCCTGGAGACTGTTTCTCTTGCTAGGCTTTTAATTGACAGCTGAGACACTCCAGCTGACAGCACTTGGTATTTTAAAATCTGGAGGGTTGGAAGTAGAGTGTTCTCACACAGAGGTGGTCTTTGACCTCTCTTCTGCCAGCATGCAAGGTTGCAGGCTTTTGCTATACTACAGAAGCATATATCTATCAACCAAACTCAAGGAAAACCTGCTTTTCTTACAGATACATCTAGTGAGGAAAATGCTTATTTCTCTTGGAGGCCCTTTAGTGAGCAGAAACTACAGAATTCAGAGTACAGATTCACTGATTTATTTCTGGTTTTCTGTGATTTTTTTGTTCTGCTTTTCAAAGTGTGAACAATACCCAGCCTGTGTCCCTAGAGTTTTTGGAAATGCTTCACAAATCTAGGATTTATAACACTGTGGATGACATCTGCTGCTCTCCCCACATCCAGCCAACCAGTTATGTGATCACAGAAGACTAGCAGATTGGTGAAGCATGATTTACCCTTGGTAAATTCATGTTGACACTCCCAATAACTTCCTGTTCTTCAACAGAATGAGTCTCTATCACCTTCCCAGGGACACAGGTGAGACTTAACAGTCCTGTAGTTCCCTGGATCCGCCTTCTTGCCCTTTTTGAAGACTGGAGTGATATTTGCTTTCCTTCAGTCCTCAGGTGCATCTTCTGTTCTCCATGACCTTTCAAAGATGATGGAGGGTGGCCCAGCAATAACATTTGCCAGCTCTCTCAGGACTTGTGGGTGCATCCCATCCGGGCCCATGGACTGAGAAATGTCCAGTTTGGCCAAGAGGTCTCTAACCCAGTCCTCTTCTACTGAGGAAAAGCTTTCTTCTCTCCAGACCTTTCCCCTTGCTTCCAGGGTCTGGGATTCATGAGGCACAGCTTTAGCAATGAAGACTGAAGCAAAGAAGGCATTCAGTAACTCCACCTATTCTGTGTCTTCCACCACTAGGGTGCCCACCTCATTCATCAGCAGGCCTACATTTTCCCAAGTCTTCCTTTTTCTATTGAAAAAACCTCTTGTTCTCTTTAACTGCAATGGCCAAGTTGAGTTCTGCTTGAGCCTTGGCCCTTCTAATTTTCCCCCTGCACAGCTTCACTACATCTAGGTATGCATCATAGGTTGCTAAGCCCCTTTCCCAAAGGCTGTGACATTTCCTTTTGTACCTGAGGTCCAGGCTAGTTGTCTTCTCCATTGGCTCATCTTCCAGGACCCGGAGATGGCCTTCTCCTGTGCCTCTGAGAGTTTGTTCTTGAAGAATGACCAGCCTTCCTGGGCTCTTTTGTCCTTCAGGGCTGCCTCCCAAGGGATGAGAGATTCTTCAGCTGTTATTTTGTTGTTAATGGTGGGATTTCTTTTCTTACCAATATATAGGTATTTTGACCTTTGAATATCTGTGGTTTATCTGCATGCAGTTTTATATTTCTTAAACTTCATGGCCTACAATGGTAAAATCTAGGTTGTTTTTTATTATTACTTTACAGGTTTCATTTGGACGTGACTTTGAACAACAGCTGAGTTTTTATGTTGAAGCCAGGTCAATGTTTTGCAATCTGGAGCCTGTTCTAGTCCAGTTGATTCATGTAAGTTACAGTTTATCTCCACTATCTTCATAAGTGGAGGGATACTCACACTTCTCCCATTCCCCACCCAGATTATTGGTCTGTCAGAATAAGTCTGAAGTATTTTTATCAAGGGTTTTTAAAGTTGACTTTGATCTCACCTCTCATTTTATCACCCCGAACTCTCTGACTTTCTTTCTTGACAGGTATGCAAGGTATCATTGCAACAGAGAAAACTGGGTATCTTGCAAGATATTTTATGTCTAATAAAATGAATGGCACTTTAGTGCATACAGAATTTGGGTTCTCTCTCCTATAATCCTCCATCTAGGAGAGATTAGATTGTCTCACTGCAGATACAGGCAGTGTCCTGCTGTGGTGGGGTAGGTTAATCTCTTTTTGTATTGTATCACATGTCAGGTGAGCATTAACTGCATGTCATTCCTTTGCATGGGATCTTCTCTTAAATCCTTTTATATTTTATTTTTGTTTTTTTAATAGTGTGTTAGCTAGAAATCATGATGTTAACACCAGGAAGGAGGTGATGACAGCACTATAGCTGGGAAGGAAGGGGTGATCTGAAGCCTTGAATAAATCTGCAAGTCTGCTTTTACAAACCCTTGCAATCATATTTGCTTTAAGGAACAGTCATTGAAATTGTCCAAGCAAAGACTGATAAGTACAGTGAAGGCACACCATGTCAGGGTCCCTTTTGACAGTTCCTGTTTTCTGAGTGCACACAGTAAAACATGCAGTTTGTTATTTGCCACTGACCTAATAAATCTTTTGATTTTTCTTGATTATTTGCTTCTGGTTTTTATGTGTAGTCTGTGAACCAACTAGCAATGGAAACAAGAAAGGTGATGAAAGGAAATCATTCCAGAAAGACTGCTGCATTTGTCAGGGTAGGTCTGACTAATAAACTTTGAGAGCCTGCCTTCTTGGCATATAATATTATCTGCTGTCACCCAAGCTTATAATTTTTGCAAAACCAATATGTTAGTATTTTTTACACTATTCATACTCTTGTTTTCTCTTGTTAACATTGATCTTTACTCTCTAAAGCCAAATGCTGCCATTTAAGGTACTTAAAAGAAAAACCCAAAGCATCTAATAGCAGCTTTGTGTTTAAAAAGACCAGCAGGATCAACTCCCTCCCCAGAGGAAGGTTCATTTGAAAGGTGTTTGTGTGAGTTCTAGAATGATCAGCTTTTCAAATTATATTTGAAATGGAATACTTAATATCTATGTAACTCAATAACAGAGAGAATAGGAGATGGGGAGAAAGTATTATTTCAATTTCTGCCTCACAGTGTCAGTGTTGGTCTGCTGAAACCAGTATTTGAATTTCAAATAACTCCTTTCAGCTTTAGTGCCTCTGAGTCTTTCTAGATGCAGTCAGATGAGCTTTGAACTATGCACAGGCTGTGTGTGGTTGCTTGTGCTCCCCTCTTCTCACAGGCAACAGAGCAACTAATATGTCTTCATGTGCTGGGAAGGTGTTTGCATATATTGCCATGAATTAATGGATTTTTCATCATGGCACCTGTGCATCATGTCCTGGAGGAAGGATGGCTAGGGTGACACTGGCCAAATCCTGTATGCCTGGGAGCCACCTGCTCCATCTCTAGGTATCTGGGCTGCTCCAGGAGGTCTCAAGCTGCCGCAGGTTGTACCAGATTCTTCCTCCGAAACCCACACAATGCCCCTGCTTTCACCAGTTTTCACAGATGGATTGTCCCCGAGGACCAGTGCTTCTTTTCTAGTTAGATTTTGGTCTTGAGCTGCAAACTGGTTACTTGAGGAGGGAAGAACACTTTGAGCTAGAATAATAGAGTAAGTTTTGAACTAATCTACTTATAATAACAGTAATTAATAACAATAAAAAATATTTTAATAAGTGTTGAAATTATGATAAATTGGAAGTTGCTGATTTTGGACTTCACATAGTATTTGCTTTTATTGAAAGCCTTTTCCAAAACTGATTTACAGATTTACACTACAAAATCAGAAATGAGTTAAGAATTTTCTTCAGTTTCATGTTTTTATTTGCTTTAGGCTTGTGTTGCCTTCTGCTTCATTACAATTCCATCTCTGACCAGTATCTTCACACGTCTTAATCTGTATCTACACTCCGGACAGGTTGCTCTGGCAAATCAGTGCCTTTCACAAGGTAAGACACCGATTTGTCTACTTAAAGGTTCTCTTATTTTAATAATATTTCTGGCTGTGAACAGTAACTTGGTTGAAATCATAAGTCACAAGTATATTATCGTGTAATTAAAATACAGCCCTGTTTCAAGCACAGTTACAGTGAAAATGAGTCATATCAAAGCAGTTCTTTAATTCTAAGACTAATCCTGTGATCTAAATAGCCAAGACAGCTGACTCCAGTTGAGATAGTCATGGCTGTGAGATAGGTTGTCCTAAATTGCTTAGAAATTATGGAATTTTTTTCTCATGCATAATAATGCAAGCACTCTTAACCACAAATGATGTACTTTATTGCAACTGTGGAAAAAGAAACAAGTTCCTCTGAGTAGTAGTTCACAGGCTGACAAAATCCTGCAACGAGCTGCAAAAGAATTAAAGCTGAGGTCAATGACACCAGAAACCTACTATCAAAGCACGTGTGTGAGAAAAGCTTAGCTAAGAAAATATGCCCCTGTATCAGAGTGAAACAGTGGAGTAATACCAGATAATATGAAGAACAAAAAATAGATTTTCTTTTTTTTTACCTGAAGTATTGATTGAACCAGGGCCTGACAGTGTTAAGTAATTGGAAATTCTGACAGAAGTGATTTGGGGAAAATTTTTAGAGCTACTCTGTAACCAGAATGAGCCTTGAGTATGTATCACCATTTAATAGGATCTTGTTCCTGTTCATATCATAAATGGAAGACAGTTACCTATTTTCAAAGTCTTCCCATACTTTTAACTGTTTGCAGTATCTTTCTTTTCCTTTTTGATGTCATTCTACTTTGTCTTGCAATTTTAATACTGACTTTAAAAGTCTGCTTTCCACTGGTAAATGCTTTTCATTTACAAGTTTTCAGTGGAGCTCCGAGAGTAATTGGATTACTTTGCATCATCTTTTGTTGTGGCTTTAATTCTTTGTTTTAGCTCTGTGCTTCTTCATGAGAACTTGTTTTCCAAGCTCTGCATTTACCATCAGTAAATTCCAGCTGCACAAACAAGCTGACTTAGGGTGCTGATTAAGACTTTTTAGTACAGGGTGACTGTTGGATTTTTTTGTTTTGAATCTGATGTTGCCCATATAGCAAAGCAGAGGATTTAGAGTAAAGCTGGCTGTTATGTACAAGTATGTTTTGCAAATAAAAGATCTGCAAAGTCTGTTGTTGTGTAATTAGTATTGTGCAGTTTCTTTGTAGATAAGTTTACCAAAAATGGACTCACTTTTTCTATGGTGTTTTGTCTAGTTGACCAGCTTACCTTATCCTTTGTATCAATTTTTATTATTGTTTGTGCTGCAGTGCATCTCTTCTTGGAAGCAAATCAAAAGCACTTTTTCTGTAATATTTGGTCTTTGAGAGGTATGCCCTGGCCATCTAGGGAACAACTCTGTGTTTTCATAATCTTTCAATTTATAAACAGCTCTTTTACTATTTTATGATCCAGGTCTTCTCTGACTGAGACTCTTGGGCCCCAACAATTGTATAGATTTTTCAGTGTGAGAGTTTATAAGTGTGCACAGCTGTTGTTTGACATGTGAACACAGTGCACTCACTGAACAATTAAAAGGATCCCCATTCTGAAACCTTTTAAGGTAACAAGTGAATGCAAAGTATCATGAACTCAATCTCTACATATTTATTAACTACTCTCTCCTGAATTTGGACCCACAAGCTAGAGAGAGGAGCATCTGGTCCATCTCAGCTTTTGTTGAAGTTAAGCATGTGAAAAACTCTGATGTTCAGTAACTCACTTCATTTACCAAGGTTTTATCGTTACACACTTTTTTCTTTCCTTAGAAAAAGCTATTTTGGGCATAATTTTTATTCAGAGACATGTCACTTGCGTGAATAATTTAGCACATGTTAACCAGTTAGACAAAAGTGACACCAGTCTTAGGACATTTTTTGTGAACTGTCTGTGCATATTCTGATATATTATAGTCAGATAATGTGTCCTTGGAAGTTACTTTTAGCACAGTGTCACCTGTATCTCAGCTGCATGGATTCCATGTGTATAAGAACTACTGATTAATTCATAACAGCAAATGTAAATCCAGTCAGTTAGCTGAGTTAACTGATGCCAATTAGATGCTGATCTAATAAAACCAATGCAGCATTAAGTGAAGTTTTAGGAGTGTGCAATTAATAATAGCATTAGGCTAGGAAGTGAAAATGTCCCTTGTGTGTAACCTTGATTTCATGCTGATTGGAATTAGCTTAATCAGTTTAAAATTGGGAAGAGAAATAAAATTGAAGGGTAATGTACCTGATCTGATGGCTCAGCCGGTAGTGGAGTGTGCAAGTGTGCACGTGCATGCAGTTTCTCTTTAAAGTTTCCAGCTGTTGTTTTTAGTGAGTTAAATTCTTGGTTTTTTTTTTAAATTTTAAGTTCCTACAGGGAGCTTAGATACTACAGTCAGTTTAGCTACTACAGTGAGTTGACTTTTCATTTAAATGTGTAACAAAATTGAATTTCACAGGATAGACTTCTGTTGGCAATAGAAAGATTTCTCTAAATTGCCTATGTATTGAACTTGAAAAAGGAGTAAAATTGCTCTTTGAGATAGATAAGGGAAACTTAAAAGATTGGTTTTTTATAAAGAGGATGTGTAGATTATAACGGTAAATAAAGTGTGGTGATCTGAGGATTGTGCTGATAACTACCAACTGGAGAGCCACAGCTAATATGACTGGAGTGGTTTAGTTTTTGCCTTGTTCCTAGTCTCCAGGGTCAGCAGCAGTAGAGCATCTGTCCTGTTCCAAGTTCCTCTCAAATCAGAGCCTTGCCTGCTGGGATTTGCCACACTTTTAATCAAAGCAGTGGTGTGATGCTTGCTCGAACTCACCCAAATACTTCAGTATTAGAAAACTGTACTTGCCATTTTTCTTGCAATAGATTTTCTTCAATACAATGAAATTGAGTCAGAAATGTGAATTTGTAGTCTCCTGAAAAGCCTACTATTACTAGTGAGTAATGTCTGTCCAGGTGTGCTGTTCAGCATGTATTAAACATGAGTATTGTCTCTTTTGTCTCCAGCTCCCAAGAAGTGCTTTACATAAAATTAATCTTTAGTTACATTCAGAATGTTTTAGGTGATTTTGCCCTGAGTGCAAAGTTTGTACCTCTGGAGGGCCTATTAAGAGCCCAGCTCAGAAAGGAAAATGCGAGATTTTACCAAGATAAGCTTTTCATTTTTTTAACTGAGGCACAGAACACTGCCAACAAGGAACAATAAACTCTGGTTGGTCATGCCTTCTGTCATAGCAAGAGCTTGCACTAAATTGAGATCAGCTACATGCTCCATTGGGTCACTATTCTGGACTTTTGAGATATAGATAATATTTTAATTGGTCATATTTTCTCCTGGTGGAAGTGCTGCTTTTGCCTGTCAAAGACCAGGCAGCATGATGTTTTAATTGTTGGTCAAAGCATCCAGCAGGTGGGTAGAGATGATGCAACTTTTCGCATTTTTATTTTAGAGGCTGTGAAATCCTTGCCTTGCTCCAGAAGTAACATGCTGAGTGGATCAAGTAATTCAACTGATTCTGTGTGACTAATTTCACTGGGACACTGTCAAACATAAAACTTTTTTAAAACGGAGAGTCTTTGGCCCCTGAATCAACTGACACAGATCTTTATTTTTTTTGGTAGCAAATGCAGATTTTAATTATGAAGCATAAAGTGCTTAATATCCTTCTACATTACATATCTGTTCTTCAAATTGTAGCTGAAGAAGTTTCACCATTAGATTGCAAGAGGACTTTCTTTTTCTACTTCAGAAAACATTACTTTTCCATTAATGTTCTCTAAATACAACAGGCTTCAGCCATGCTTTGGAGAAAGTATGAGATTAAATACCTAATAAGTAATTTTTAATTATAATCTAATAATGTTGTAGTGTATTTTAATGTATTTTCAGAGTAGCATTAGATTTTTAGTATTCCTTCTTAATCTCCTAGAAACTTTATAGATCTGAAGAACATAAATAGAATATATAAATAGGGAGAATTTGAGATAAAGAATTTAGAGAAATAAGAACCCAAAGAGGTTTTTCTCAATTCTTTGCTCACACTCCTCTGGTAACACTGGTAAATGCTGTCTCTGTTACCTTTTTGAATACTATTTTCCTTGATGGCAATGAAGTAGCTTTGGGAGAAACTGATGAGATACTGTTTTCCTTATTAATCAATAATGAACATTGCTTTATTTGAACAAAATGATGACTTGTACTGTTAGCTGGGATTTCCACAGCTGGAAATTTCTCTCATTCCCTGAGCTTTTTCTTGTGCCTTTCTTTATCCCAGCCAATAGATTTTACATGATTTGAGAGAGATGACATCTCTGTCACTGTAAGCTTTTCAGACTAGCATTTCACGTCAGTTTGTCAGTTCTTAAAGTCTGTCTAGCCTGTGACCTGTTTTTGAAAGTGTCCAGTAGAATCTACTGAGGGAACATAAAGGAAACAATAATGCGGAATGATGCTTCCTAGCTTTCAGCTGCAAGTGGTCTGAATATATCCTGTAACAAAGGTTACATATGGGCCATGATATTTAATAAAATAGATGGATCAATCCTTAGGAATTTAATTATTTGTCAGTTTTTACTTTTTGGCCTTGTAACTTCATTTGACAGAGAGTTCCACAATTACGTGCTACGTGGAAATCTACTACTTAAGGATTTATTTCTGCAATGTTTTTTAATGTTAGCTGTGTGTTCAGTGCATGCAGCTGATCTGCTAGTGATGCTGTCAAAAATTCAGTCATTCAGTCATTTTCTTCATGCTACCAATGAGATGGAGTTGATAAGTTCCTGAAGAGTTTGTGTAAGTATAGCTTTTTTTAACAAGGAAGCAGTTCCATACCTGAGCCATTTTTAATCTTCTTTATATGCTTTTGGAAAGGAGAAGATAAGAACTCTATTCTAGGTGTGAGTGCACAACAGCTGTATAAATGATACTGTGACACCTCCATTTTTCAT